AGGAATCCGAGGTACTGCCAGGCTATCCCCTCCCCCCCCCCCCCCCCCCCCCCCCCCCCCCCCCCTCCCCTCCTCCCTGGTCGAGCCCCATCTCTCGGTGTCCACTCACTCGCAATTCCCCAGCACCTGTTTGAGGTTGTCTCCTCCTTCCAGGCCTTCGAACCGGAGTCCTATGTAAATGGCATCATTCGCGAGGAGGCGGCCAAGCGCTCGCTCTACGGACTGGCCCCCATCAGCACCCCGCTTTGGGTGGACTTCGATTGTCGTGGCACTTGCCCCAACTCCTTCCCATCCGCCCACACCCCGACCACTGCGACTGCCTTGCGCCTGGCGACCTGTCCGGCCAACTGTCACGGTCCTGCCTCGACGGTCAAGCGTCCCACCGGGCAGAAGGTTCAATTTCGCGAAGGCCCCGATGACCTGATCGGCTATACCGAGACCCGTGGCCGGCGTTCACTCCGGGTATGTCGCGCCTTCCTGCCCTCGACATTGGCGCACCTTTTTTTCTTCCCCTTCCCGATCGCTGATCCCCCCCCCCCCCCCCCCCCCCCCCCCCCCCCCCAGTCACCTTGCCCCCCCCCCCCCCCCGTCGCCCGGCTCGTCCGCAACTCGGAAGGAGTATCGCAAAAACCAGAGGGCTCGCACACCGAAAAGCCCGCCGCCCATTCGGATGGTCATGAATTTCGCCCTCCCAAGTCACTCCCAGCCGGTCCTCGAGTCTACCCCATCCGATAGCAGCAGCGAGGATGAGTTTTTCGAAGCAATGCGCACTTGGCAAGCACCCAATGCCCCTGGGCTGCCTGCTGCATCGACGGTCTCCCCCCTGTCCGGGCCCACAGCCGCACCGCCAATGGCGACGGTTGCGGCCCGGCAACTGCCCGCCGACGGCTTGCCCATGGATGACAGCGATCCCGACTCCTCATCGCCGCCTCCCCTGCCAGCCTCCTTTGCCTTGTCCCCCGCACCAAAGGCAGCCACCGGCGGCATGGCCATGGCGGCCAATGTCCAGGGGGCCGAGTCGTCCTCGGCCGCGGATCTTACCCGTCCATCACTGCCGCTGCCTTCGACCGGTCGATCTCTCCGTCCCTCCCGCCCTTCCTTCTCGCCGCCCATGCTCAAGTCCAGCTCCGACAGCTCCATCTTCCTTCCCCACTCCGAGGCCCAGCCCTCCGCCTTCCACACCCGGCTTTACCAGTGTTCCGTCGCCACGGATCCGGCGGCCCCGGCGGACTTGACTCTCCAAAGCAAAGTGCGTATGCGCCCATCCGGATGGGTGTCCCCCCCCCCCCCCTCCCCGCCCCCCTGTACCAGCATCGCTCTCATGTCGGCTCCTGACCTATTCTCCTCCCCCTGGCCTTCGAAGATTCTCTTCTCCGACTCCTTTGTCCGGGCAATGCTCAAGAAGTACCCGGCCGTCGCATCGGCGGCCACCAGCGTGCACCCCCCACGGGAAGGATGGCTTCTTGAGGTGTCCAGTTTCCACATTGACGAGATTTCCATCATCTCCTCGAATGAGCAGCTCCGCCAGCGTGCCTCCCCCGTTCAACCGCTGCGCAAGGCCGCCGGTGCTCGAGGCTCACTGAGCGACCTGCCAGCGGGACTTGTCGATGCCTCGGAGCGCATTCTCCTGCCGACGCACCTTCGCCCCGTGGCTTCAAGTGAACAGGCGCCTCGCCTGGTGGGTCACGGCCTTGCCGCTGCCGAGCCCCATGTCCCGGTCACGCGTCACTTTACCGAGCACCTGCCGGCTCTCAACTCGATGGACAATTCCTTCCTGGTCTCGACGCTTGCGCGAGATCGTTGCAGCCTGCCTGGGAACTTCCTCCGGCCTCTGGCGCTGGAGCTGGAGCTGCCCTTCCCCCCGGAAGCCGCCTTCCTCGAGACCATCCACGATGCTTCAGGCGAGGCTCCTTCGCCCGAAGAGTGGAGGCTAAAGGGTCTGGCTTCGGTCTTCCTCCTTTCGGCCAAGCACGACCATGCCCGCACATCCGGCTCCTTCGCCGAGTGGGCTCTTGGGTGGGCATCCCCACCGAGGGATGGCCGGTTGGCGGCTGGAGGCGCCTGCCCTCCCCCGGCGGAGGTCATCCACTTCGCCGACATCCCTCCCTCCTTCACGGTTTTGGCCAATACCAGCATTCGCCTTGCCCTGCCGGTGGCGTCCCCGGCCACCGGGCTCCACCAGCTGCGATCGACCCTCACGGTGCCCGGCATCCAGGGGGAGCATCTGACCTTTGTGGCGGAGTTCGATCGCGGGGGCTCAATGCGCCGGGTGAATACCCCGCGCCTGGTCCGGTCTATGTATGTCGATGTTGCTGGCGGCCCCTGTCTGGCGATGCGCCTGCCGTCGGATTTGCCCTCGACCAGTGAAGCTGGCGCATTTGCGCCGGACGCCACGTCGCCTGTTCAATGTCGCATGGTATGCATTGCCCGAGGCATTTAAACCGCCCCAATTTGTCCCCCTCCCTTTCCCCTTCCTCGCCCCTCCCTGACCCTCATCCCCCCTGGCCGCCCGGGTCTTCCTCCGCCCACAGGAAGAGCACACCATTGTCTGGTACATCGAGAAGCTGTTGACTTCCCCGGATGGGGACATCTATTTCCCCCTGCCAGCCGACTTGTGCCCATTGCTTGCCAATTCCCCCGGAGGATGTGCCTCCATGGAGTCCGACTTCCTGGCTGCCAGTCTCCCCCTTTCACAAAGCCTCTCCCTTCAGTCGACCATTGCCCTGCAATCAGCAGTCGGCCCCTCCTGGCTGTCGGCCAATGGTCGGGGTCATGCCTCGCCTCATGGGCGGGGCAATGATGCGGCGGCAGCGGCCATCGCGGCGGCAGCCGCCCGTGGGACCGGGGGCCCCTTCTGTCCTTGTCATTGGGGCCGCGTCTCCGGGGCCATCCAAACACACTCGACCGCACGCCTCGGTGATGACCCGCATGGAGACCGGATAGCCGGCAGCTCGGCCGATGCCCTGGCCACCCTAGAAGTGCTTGAGGATGATGCCCGGTCCACGGCTGACCTGGACCCGGCCCCGGCATCGGCCCCGGCATCGATGTTCATGGGAGCCTCCCCGTCGCGTGCGGCTTCCTTCCGGTGCTCGATCAACCAGACGGTCCCCTACCTGGGCCATGCGCCCGAGTCCTTTGGCACGACCATTGTCCTCCGCAATCCGGAGCTCAAGCGAGCCCTGACAATCTTCCCCCACCCGGATGGCGTGGGGTCCATTGCCCAACCGCGCCGGATACCTGCGGAGCCCTGTCCCACGAAATAGACGGCCTCTGTGCACATGGATGCCTCGACGCATCCTCCTTCCCTCTTTGTCTCTTTGCCTCTTTGTCTCTTGATCTCTCTCCGCCTCTCGTCCTCACGGACCCTTGTTCACCATGGCTGATCGTCAGCTTGTAGGCATGTCTGCGTGTATTGCATGCCATCGTAGGGGAGGGGGGAGGGAGCCTCCAGGTATTGGTTTTCGGGTGTATCACCGGTGATGGCCTCTAAAACTGGGGGAGGCCACGCAGCGGGGCCTCGCGCGACCGCCAATCACAGCTCGTCCCTCTGGGAGGCTTCCCCGTCAGTGGTGGTGTCGGAGCCGGCGACGCCCTCGGGGCTGACAACTGCACTCGCCGCAGGAGGTGGCAGGAGTGCGCACTCATCCGCCGGACAGGGGCCGCCATGGGCCGATGAGCAGAAGCCCCACCAGAGGCGCAGCTCGGCCTCCTGTGGCAGGGGCGATTCGCTGGGGTCAAACCACCAGGGGGCATCGCCTGCAGCCGAGGCGGCGGCCCATCCGGCCGGTGGCCACTCGGCCGGCGGCAGGACCAGCGGCCGACGCTCGGCTCCCGCTGCCCGCTGGGGGGAGAACCACCACCGATCGCGGAGGTCATCCTCCAGGTCCTCCAGCAAAGACATGCACCGGGCGCGGAGACGCTTGCGGTCCTCCAGGCGGGTGGCCAGGCCGGCTTGCCCGGTGGGCGCCGGTGCAGCATCCCCGGCCGGCTGAATTGCAGCATCGGAACATGCCCGCTCTAGGATCGACAGAAGTCGAAGCTCCCCTCGGGCCCAGAGCATGCCGACCGATCCTCCACCGGTGCGCCGGGCCTGCTCCTTCTCCCAGGCAGCGCTGCCACTGGATGAGTGCTCTTTGGTGCTTTGGTGGAAGGCCTTGAGTGAGGGGGGGGG